TTACATCAAATATATTTTTTGTTTTGTATTTGAAATACAAAATATTGTTGAATAGTCATTTGGGGCGGAGTAACAACATATAATCAAAAAATTTTAGAAATTAAGACTTGAAATCTATAATAACCATTTGGCAAGAGTACATAATATTCAAAAATAATAAATGGATTTATTATTTTATTACTATATCATTTATCTTACTTATATCTACAATTTAAATATTAAGTTTAGAGAAACTTTATTCTGGATTTATCAATATTTATGAAGCAAATATAAATTAAACAACAAGAAAATTGAAAAACAAAACATATCACTTCATAATTTGTTATATGACAATTTGGAAGACGTAACAGCTAGAATGATGTCACACCATGGATATGTCAATTATAAGAAAAAAATATTGAAATTATACACTTACTTTGAAAGGCCAAAGAAAGTTCATTGCATACTTGAATCGACGATCGGCTCTATATATACAGTGAACTAAATCTTCTGTGCATATGATACCATATTTTCCCAATTTCTTTTCAATCATTTCATTGTTAGTGATTGGAATGCGTTGTCCCTTGATTTTGGCAAATCCTCTTTTATAGACCAATTCCCTCACACTCTTTAAGTTAGGATATCCCCAAGTCACATATGGTTCACAAATTCTCAACATATTTAATGTTGCCTAATAATAAAAACAATAATAACAATGTTAAGAAAAACACTTAATATTTACATTTAATTGTTTATTTACTTTGTTCAATTTGATGAATATTCCATTGTTGATCTGACGCAATCTGAACAGTTGCAATACTTTCTTCACCTTAGGAGCTACTTGATTCACACTAAAATATAATTTATAATAAATTTATTAGAAATGAACTCTAACAAACAGATTAATAGTGGATACATACCCACGAATACGCATGATGAATGCTAATTTAGGTTCAGGTGGAATATAAAAGTCACCAGATTTCTTTGCGTTCCTTGCTAAACGGATTTCATCTCTTTCCTTCATTCTAAACTCCTTAACATAAGCTTCGGCACGTTTAAAATATTTCTTAGTTTTCTTCACGCGTTCTTTACGTTCCTAATTTAAAAAGAATAAATAATGTAAATGCACATTTTATCAACAAAATAAATGGGTATTTTAAGAATACCAAACCAAGTTATAAATAAACACGGCATAAATTATAGAATTATATTTGTTATTTAATGACAAAATTTAACTTTTATATAAAGCCTTATTTTAAAAACAATGAATCATGAATCATCACATTACAAAATATTTTAACACAAAAACTAAACATTCCATTAAAAATTAAAATAATTATTAGGTAGATGTAAATATTAGTAAACATATATGAAGTCCCCACCAACTAATAATATAGGACATTTTGCCCAAAATTTACTCATATAAAAATTGGAAAAATAAAAAATGATATTATAGGTAATAATTATAATTAATAATATTTTGACATTTTTGTATTTAATCATAAGAATTACAGGTACTAAATTTAAGTTTTATAAAAAGAAACTTAATTTAAGTGATTCAAAACATKGGGGACTAACATACTAACCGAATGTTTGACATTTTCATCATTAATGTTTGAAATGTATAATAATTAAATATATATATATAGGTACAGCAAGATAGGATAGAATATTATCTGTTAAGTTAAACAATGTACTCTCGGTGGATATGATTTAAGAACGTAGAGGATTAACACGATCTAAATTGAATATATATAAACATAGAAATTTTTGAATTTTTGAAATTTGAATCAGTGAAATAAGCCAATTAAATTAACATGTTGACCAATTTAAATTTGTATAGGTAATTGGTTACATACCTCAATAGCTTTCTTCAATGACTTAAGCTTGAAAGCTGTACGTGCTTTGCGTCTTTTGAGTACAGACTCCGGCACCGCCGGAAGCCTTTTTGGGGCACTGTGAACATAAAAGTTATGTCAATGTAGATATCTTTAACTGACATAATAAAGACGAAATTGTCGTCCGCATCCATTTTCATTCGAGAATAATAAATAAAATTTAAATGTTACAAAAAACGTTTTTTCGAAATTCATGAACGAATTCAGAATACATATTAACATATGGCAGATTAATCCAGATGAAAATGTTACTCACTTGTCATCAACCATTTTGGCAGAACGGGATGGGAACGATCGACACAACAAGTAAACAGTAAATACAAGAGGTCTAAAACGATAAAGGACAATATTCTGTAAAAATGTTGTATTGATGTTGAAATTCAATATTTGAGGTTAGTATTTTACCGATGATCAGTACAGTGTGACCATTTTAATCACGGATAGAACATACACCGTAAGTCGTGATTGTGTTATTATCACGATTTAATATATAGATAATGTTATCTATACCTGTGATTGTCATTAATTGATTTAACTGACCTAAACGGTTAAGAATAAAGATACTGATTTTGGAAATTAATAAATTAAAGACACAGAATGCAGATTTTATTGAGATAATGTTAAATTGGTAAACACGATTATACAAAAAATAATGAACTAGTTCTTTACAATGGCGATGGATAATAAAAACATAAATTAAATAATAATTTATTCAGATAGATATATATATCTGTATTATTAGTCTTTAGAGGTGAAAAAATTATTTCCCCCCACAGAATAGTATTAACTATTTTTTAGTTCATCTAGTTCATATGTTTTTACTCATAAATAATAATTAAAAATAAATACTACCTAGAGTCCTAGACCATCCTACAGTTTTCAACTTTTTTATATTCGCATATCGCATACCACCTAGTACCTACACAGTTTAAGAATCTTCATTTACTTTTTAACCAAATAACCTTTTTGTTTTGTTTTACTCATAAAAAATGTATATGTTATTTTACATATATGGCATTATATTTTATTTTACTTCTACTACTACAGACTAATTTAAAATTTAATTATAGGCCACAGCGACTAGCTATATAAAGTTAGCCACCCTAATTTTCCTAGTCCTCTATAGATATCTGTCCCCAACCACTTCTTTAATCATATTTTGTTTTAATTTCTGTTCTGACTATCTAGGGTTACCAGAGTCGTCCTCTTTTCCCCGGACGTGTCCTCTGTTTAAGCTTAAATAAAAACGTCTGGGGGGTTTTTTTTTTTCAATAATGGAAAATGTCAGGGTTTTTCATGAAATGTGAATTTTTTTTAATAATCACCTCAATATCAGTATATAATAGGTATTTATATAATTGTCTTATTCTGTGTTAGTATACTTATTTATTTCAAAACCACGAAGAAATTCTATGGCATTTAATTTATTTTCTTAAGTCTAAATATCTGCTACTAATAAATGTGTACAATTAAATATAATTTATACTTAATGATATATTATGTATATCATTTTATTATTACAGTAGGTGTATAATAGGTACATTATAAGAAAAATAAAATGTACTTATTAATAATTTTCGTGATCTTCAAAAAAAATGTCCTCTTTTATTGTCAACCATAAATGGTAACCTTATGACTATCCATCTATTCCCTAACAGTTCAACACCTATACCTTACTACATTAATTTTCAGAGCTACTATCAGTGTCTGTCTGCCTTTGAATTTTCAATACTATACTCCCTCATTTGGTGCCACTTCTACACTATTACTTATTCATAACAAAACCTGAATAATAATAATTAACTATATTAAAAAAATTATATTTCAGAACTAAAGAAGATAATAATTGTTTAATGTATTATTTTCATTTTATAAATGTAGTTCATACAACAATGCATTATCCAAATTGCTACTTATTAACACGTTAATTGCCATGCGGCCGCTGGCGCCCTCAAGAATATTTATCATGGGTACGCCAAGTACATTTTTCAGTGTTATTATAAATTAATTGTATTTGTATATTATATACTATTGAATAAAAAAAAAATTCAAAATTCAAAAACAAATGTTAAAATTATGTTTATTACACCAAAAAAATTGCAATTATTCCCACTATGCCACAACGTATTTTCAAGATCATTATTGTAGCACCAGAGAAAATACCTAAGTATAATTTTTATACAGATGCCGGTGGCAGCATGACAGTCAACGTGTTAAAAGTAGAATTTATTTTTCATCAAGAAACTGTTAAAATGTAATTTTTCAAGTCAAACTTTTATGAAATATCTCTATATATTATCAGTTTATGGTTGTCATTATAGCCAATATTCTGTGGTAGCAAAAAAAAAAAATATCTATGAAATCTCTAATTATTTATTTTTTGATAATTAAAGACAATTTTGGCTAGCTTCCCTTGTTCATCCTGTAATCTTAAGACTTAATGTTGGTTGAAATTTTATCTATTCTATGATACTTGTAGCTGTTTATTAGTGATCAAAATATTTTCATTGAATGTAACAATTACCATCAACTATAAGTTAAAGGACTGTGATAAATGATAATCTTATACGTTTTCTATGTTCATTGGCAATTGCACAATATGTTCAGTTCCCAGATACCAAAAACATATTATAATAATATTTTTGTAAAATTACATATTGCTATTGATATTGAAGATGAAACATAGAAAACTTATAGACTGACAATTTCATTGACTTAACATTTTCAATACATATATTAAGTTGAAAGGCACACTATGCCACTGAAGGATACTAAGTAATATTGTACAGAAATAATAGTTTCATTACCAATAAAGGATGTTAGTGCAATTTATAATGAAGTAAAAAGAAAAACTATAATTTTTTTAATAAAAGTATATTTTTTTAAAGTCCGTAAATAATAATCTTGATATAAATAATACTATGAAATATATGTTTGGTAAGAGTACTTATGTTAGAGTTTAGAAATTCAAGTAATGGAAAACAATTTGTTTGAAATTATAATTTATCCAAACAATGAAGTCAATGTGATTTTTATAAGATAATAATATACATATTATTTCTGATAATAAATATATATACTATTATTTATTAAGATTTTAATATAGTACATTATTTTGCAGTAACAAATTGTCAAACAAAATAACTTTCTAACACTTTGTTTGAACATAAGTAAACGACCTTTATAGTTTACTGTAACAATGTAATAAACTGATTTAATTACTTATATAATAATATGAAATAATTATTTACAAAATATATCCATTTAACATTTAACACAATCATATCATTTATTAGACATTTCAATATGTATGCATTGAATCAAAAATTTTAATAACCTCCATATTTTTCCTGCAAATAAAATATATTAATTATTATAAAATAATATTATGAAATCGTAAAGTAATGAGTATATGTATTTTGTTAAATATACCACGCTTATGTATTGGTTTGTTATTTTACCTGAAATGATGACATCATGCCATTAGCCAGAGATGATAATTTACCAGCTACTTTTGTTACACCTTGTTTAACACTTTCTTTGACATCATCTAAATCAGGAGGTTGGTATGTAGAATTTACACCTGTCATTTCTTCTCTCCCAAATAGTTCAGCAGATGAAATACTATTACTTCCTTCAAATCGTGAAAGATTTGATTTCTCGGACTACGATAAAAAATAAATTATAATTCAAGTATGAATAAACTATTGCAATTATTTTATTTTATTGAGTAAGTAGTAAATATATTTATTCTAATACTTTATACCCTACAAAAGTAGGTATAAAGTAAATTATAAAACACTTTAAAATATAGTCAGCAAAGGAAAAAAGCAATTTTTAAAACATTTTCTTTTAAATTACCTATACAAAAAAAA